TACCAAATCACCTCATTCTTTGGGGCACACGTGAGGAACACAAATGCGAACAAGCCTGAATGGTCCCCAGGACAATATGCAACTGAAAACCCACACCCCAGAAGTGACTCGAACCCATACTCCCAGGAGCAACGCAACTGGTATGTACAAGACGCCTTAATCCACTTGACCATCACGACCGGACATAATGAGGTGATAGCCGAGGCTATTTGAACCACCCCACCGCCGGCACTCGGATAGTAATCTTGGGCATAGCATTTTACCAAATCACCTCATTCTTTGGGGCACACGTGAGGAACACAAATGCGAACAAGCCTGAATGGTCCCCAGGACAATATGCAACTGAAAACTCACACCCCAGAAGTGACTCGAACCCATACTCCCAGGAGCAACGCAACTGGTATGTACAAGACGCCTTAATCCACTTGACCATCACGACCGGACATAATGAGGTGATAGCCGAGGCTATTTGAACCACCCCACCGCCGGCACTCGGATAGTAATCTTGGGCATAGCATTTTACCAAATCACCTCATTCTTTGGGGCACACGTGAGGAACACAAATGCGAACAAGCCTGAATGGTCCCCAGGACAATATGCAACTGAAAACTCACACCCCAGAAGTGACTCGAACCCATACTCCCAGGAGCAACGCAACTGGTATGTACAAGACGCCTTAATCCACTTGACCATCACGACCGGACATAATGAGGTGATAGCCGAGGCTATTTGAACCACCCCACCGCCGGCACTTGGATAGTAATCTTGGGCATAGCATTTTACCAAATCACCTCATTCTTTGGGGCACACGTGAGGAACACAAATGCGAACAAGCCTGAATGGTCCCCAGGACTATATGCAACTGAAAACTCACACCCCAGAAGTGACTCGAACCCATACTCCCAGGAGCAACGCAACTGGTATGTACAAGACGCCTTAATCCACTTGACCATCACGACCGGACATAATGAGGTGATAGCCGAGGCTATTTGAACCACCCCACCGCCGGCACTCGGATAGTAATCTTGGGCATAGCATTTTACCAAATCACCTCATTCTTTGGGGCACACGTGAGGAACACAAATGCGAACAAGCCTGAATGGTCCCCAGGACAATATGCAACTGAAAACTCACACCCCAGATATAAATAGCCTCACACCCCAGATCAAATAGCCTCGGCTATCACCTCATTATGTCCGGTCGTGATGGTCAAGTGGATTAAAGCGTCTTGTACATACCAGTTGCGTTGCTCCTGGGAGTATGGGTTCGAGTCACTTCTGGGGTGTGAGTTTTCAGTTGCATATTGTCCTGGGGACCATTCAGGCTTGTTCGCATTTGTGTTCCTCACGTGTGCCCCAAAGAATGAGGTGATTTGGTAAAATGCTATGCCCAAGATTACTATCCGAGTGCCGGCGGTGGGGTGGTTCAAATAGCCTCGGCTATCACCTCATTATGTCCGGTCGTGATGGTCAAGTGGATTAAGGCGTCTTGTACATACCAGTTGCGTTGCTCCTGGGAGTATGGGTTCGAGTCACTTCTGGGGTGTGGGTTTTCAGTTGCATATTGTCCTGGGGACCATTCAGGCTTGTTCGCATTTGTGTTCCTCACGTGTGCCCCAAAGAATGAGGTGATTTGGTAAAATGCTATGCCCAAGATTACTATCCGAGTGCCGGCGGTGGGGTGGTTCAAATAGCCTCGGCTATCACCTCATTATGTCCGGTCGTGATGGTCAAGTGGATTAAGGCGTCTTGTACATACCAGTTGCGTTGCTCCTGGGAGTATGGGTTCGAGTCACTTCTGGGGTGTGAGTTTTCAGTTGCATATTGTCCTGGGGACCATTCAGGCTTGTTCGCATCAAAATGAGGTGATAGCCGAGGCTATTTGAACCACCCCACCGCCGGCACTCGGATAGTAATCTTGGGCATAGCATTTTACCAAATCACCTCATTCTTTGGGGCACACGTGAGGAACACAAATGCGAACAAGCCTGAATGGTCCCCAGGACAATATGCAACTGAAAACTCACACCCCAGAAGTGACTCGAACCCATACTCCCAGAAGCAACGCAACTGGTATGTACAAGACGCCTTAATCCACTTGACCATCACGACCGGACAAAATGAGGTGATAGCCGAGGCTATTTGAACCACCCCACCGCCGGCACTCGGATAGTAATCTTGGGCATAGCATTTTACCAAATCACCTCATTCTTTGGGGCACACGTGAGGAACACAAATGCGAACAAGCCTGAATGGTCCCCAGGACAATATGCAACTGAAAACTCACACCCCAGAAGTGACTCGAACCCATACTCCCAGAAGCAACGCAACTGGTATGTACAAGACGCCTTAATCCACTTGACCATCACGACCGGACAAAATGAGGTGATAGCCGAGGCTATTTGAACCACCCCACCGCCGGCACTCGGATAGTAATCTTGGGCATAGCATTTTACCAAATCACCTCATTCTTTGGGGCACACGTGAGGAACACAAATGCGAACAAGCCTGAATGGTCCCCAGGACAATATGCAACTGAAAACTCACACCCCAGAAGTGACTCGAACCCATACTCCCAGAAGCAACGCAACTGGTATGTACAAGACGCCTTAATCCACTTGACCATCACGACCGGACAAAATGAGGTGATAGCCCTTTGTGTTCCTCACGTGTGCCCCAAAGAATGAGGTGATTTGGTAAAATGCTATGCCCAAGATTACTATCCGAGTGCCGGCGGTGGGGTGGTTCAAATAGCCTCGGCTATCACCTCATTTTGTCCGGTCGTGATGGTCAAGTGGATTAAGGCGTCTTGTACATACCAGTTGCGTTGCTTCTGGGAGTATGGGTTCGAGTCACTTCTGGGGTGTGAGTTTTCAGTTGCATATTGTCCTGGGGACCATTCAGGCTTGTTCGCATTTGTGTTCCTCACGTGTGCCCCAAAGAATGAGGTGATTTGGTAAAATGCTATGCCCAAGATTACTATCCGAGTGCCGGCGGTGGGGTGGTTCAAATAGCCTCGGCTATCACCTCATTTTGTCCGGTCGTGATGGTCAAGTGGATTAAGGCGTCTTGTACATACCAGTTGCGTTGCTTCTGGGAGTATGGGTTCGAGTCACTTCTGGGGTGTGAGTTTTCAGTTGCATATTGTCCTGGGGACCATTCAGGCTTGTTCGCATTTGTGTTCCTCACGTGTGCCCCAAAGAATGAGGTGATTTGGTAAAATGCTATGCCCAAGATTACTATCCGAGTGCCGGCGGTGGGGTGGTTCAAATAGCCTCGGCTATCACCTCATTTTGTCCGGTCGTGATGGTCAAGTGGATTAAGGCGTCTTGTACATACCAGTTGCGTTGCTTCTGGGAGTATGGGTTCGAGTCACTTCTGGGGTGTGAGTTTTCAGTTGCATATTGTCCTGGGGACCATTCAGGCTTGTTCGCATATATATATATATATATATATATATATATATATATATATATATATATATATATATATATATATATATATATATATCCCTTTGTACAGTCGTGATGGTCGAGTGGTTAAGGTTTTCTGTACACCAGTTGCATAGTGTTCCTGGCAGTATAGGTTCCAGTCACTTCTGGGGTGTGGAGTTTTCAGTTATATATATATATATATATATATATATATATATATATATATATATATATATAACTGAAAACTGTTATAGTTATATATATATATATATATATATATATATATATATATATATATATATATATATATATATATATATATATATATATAACTGAAAACTCCACACCCCAGAAGTGACTGGAACCTATACTGCCAGGAACACTATGCAACTGGTGTACAGAAAACCTTAACCACTCGACCATCACGACTGCACAAAAGATGATGGTAGCCGAGGCAATTTGCCCATCATCCCGACGGCACTCTGGAGACAATCTTGGGAGAAATATTTTATCAAATCACCTCATTTTTTGGGCCACGTGAGCGGTGTTCCTACTCTTATAGCGAACTGTCTTCTGTTTCGTGTTAGAAAGGGTCACGTTTCTCTCGGTTATGTCTTTCTTGATACTTTCCTCCTTCTTGCGAGTCATTATGAAGTATTAAATGCAAACTAAACCTTGAAGAAATGATGTTTTTAACCATTTCTCATGTGAATATGAATAAGTATAAATAAAATTCATGTTGTAAGGTTAAGTGGTTGTTTTAGTAATTTACATCGTTGTAAAAAAAAAAATTCTTTGATGAATATTGTCAAAGGAATATTTATCGATACAGAAATATAAATATAAAGCTATATAAATTGAACAAATAGCTTTTTACCATATTTAGTGTATCTGTCACAATTCTAGGATGCAGGAAAGGAAAATAAATGTGAATATAAACTTACTTAATATTTGATAACACAACATGGCAGCAGAAGGTGAAACATAAAAGTTAGACACAAAAGTCTTGGCCGAGATTCAGGTATTTGTTACAGTAATTATTGATGATCATATCAGCATATTGGTCGACGAGGATGTACCCTACATGGCAAGGGTCCTGGCAGTTCCAGTAGTGCCACGGGGGAGTGTGCAGGAGTTGTGCCTCACAGCGGAGGGTGTAAGCCCGGGAGAGTGGCACGGTGCTGTCCCAGTTGATCCAACCCGTCCTCTTAAAAAGAACGTCACTTTTGGCTGGTATGCGCGATATGGCTAAATTTGGACGTAATTTGAAATGAAATCGACTCACAAAAGTGACGTTGTATTCCGTTTTCTATTTGAGTCGTCCGCCTTACGCGCAGAGGTTATAAGAGGACACTTTAAATTCACGTTTTTCATAACGTTTTGAAACTTTATGATAATTTCCTGCCCACCTAACCTATCAGAGGACCCTTAACTTACTGTTGTTGAAAAAAGAAATCCCAAATTTATTTTAATTTTTTTTCATTTTCAAATTACGTCCAAATTCGGCCATACGGGCAAACGGCCAAAAGCGACGTTCTTTTTAAGAGGACAGGTTGGTTGATCACACCTGTCCCTGACAGTGCCGCCACCGCCGCCTTGTTGTACAACGGGTAGTTACTCCGGGTGTTGATGGCTTTCCATGCATTTGGTTCGCTGGCTCTCTGAGGGTAAATTCTCTTTTCTTTATCACTAATATTTCATTCATGCACGTTGTAATGAATTCTGGTTTTAAAGTTATTTTTGAAAATTAGCAAAATATAATATATACAAAAATTTACCAGAATGCAATATGAAATACTCTTTGCTTATAAAAAAGCTTTATTTAAAAAAAATAATAATAATAGTAGCAGCAATAACAATGCAACAGTGACACTACCACTGTAGTAACTCCAGAATTTAAGGTGCACGGAAGGAAAAGTAATTACATCAGGTAACATACAAACAGCTTGGTGGGATGAATTGTCGGTTTAAGAATTTCTTAGGCTTTAGGCATCTCTAAGATATGGGGTCATATATGAAAGATATACCTAAATAAAATAACGTTGAAAGTAATCAACATAAATAAATCCTAATAGGATTAAGTTATAAATAAATGGAAAAAATACCTCGTATCAATTTAATATCCCGTAGAAAAAGGGGAAAATTTTTCGCTTAATTTTTTTATAAGCCACAACCTTGTAAGCCCAAGGCACTGTGACTAATGGATAATCCGACACTGCCCAGAACTATCAACATCACTACACGGAACTCCAAAGTTACCAAAAAGCCAGAAGCCAAGTCACCAACTGTAGCAGACCCAATACTCTCATGGTATCGAGAACCATAGCAGACCCAATACTCTCAGGGTACTGAGAACGTAGCTGCCCAATACTCTTAGGGTATCGAGAACCGTAGTAGATTTACTACTATTTAGGGTATCAAGAATCGTAATTGTTTCACTACTCTCTGGATATGGAGAGCCGTAGAAGTTGCACTACTTTCTGGGTATCGAGATCCGTAATAGATACTCGGCTCCCTGAGAGTAGTGTATCACTTGGAAACAGTACCTGTAGGACATCAAATAACAATAAAATACACTGTTTTAGGAATCAAGGAACAGAAAGATACTCATATTACCCTAAGGTCGTCGAGGAGCTTAAAGACGACAGTAGTGTTGGCTGCGAGGCGGGTGAGTTGGTCCTTGAAGCTACTGATGTGCGTCCTATACAAGGCGACGGCTGCCTCGGGTCCCTGGCTCTGGTACACATCTTGAGTTGCTTCCATCCAGTGCAGTGCCGCAGCTGTAGGGAACCTCCATGTTATGACTCGATTATTCATCGTGTATTGTATGCAGCACATGCATTCATCATATATTGTTTGGAGTACATGTATTCATCATGTATTGTCTGGAGTACATGCATTCATCATTTATTGTATGCAGTACAAGCATTCATCATGTATTATATGCAATACATGCACTCATCATGAATTGAATAACGTGCATGCATTCATCATGTATTATTTGGAGTACATGCATTCATCATGAATTGTTTGGAGTACATGCATAATGCATATACTGCATGCAGTACATGCACTCATCCAGAGCAATTCAGACATTTTTGTGTCTGAATTGTCTATTTTTGTGTCTGTAATCTAATATTAATTTAATGACTTAATTTTATTCTATTAATTACTATCTGACTTCTTGTTAGACAGATAAACTTTCTTAATGAGTGAATAAATCTGTACTTGAGTTAAGATCCAGTGCATTATACTGTAACAATTGACTGCAAGAACAGGTAACACTAATATCCACAAAGCAATATGTAAGTGTCAACCGGTTGCGAAGTGCCTGTTCCCTTGGTAGGTAGACACTTGCAATGGATGCGTCAAATGAACTCTGCCGGATAATTGATGGTATAAGTACTTATGTACTGAACATTAGCAGTTACTTTGTAAATAAAATATAATTTAAGTAATAAATAAATGTTGTAAAGCTGACTACTGACCGATGATGACGAGTGTCGGGGAGCGGTGAGGGTGCTGCTCCCACTCCGTCAGCTTCTCCGGCAGGATCTTCAATAATGTATCCCAGTAGTAGGTTAGGTGGAAGTTAACTCCAAGGTCACGTACTTCAATATTTTGCCAGAGTTTGAAAGTATGAAGTTCTGCCTCTAGAGCAGCTGCACTAAGCCACTTGCCCTGTGGGTATAGAGCGATTTTTAGTTTGTGAAACATTTTATACTGGCTGTATGTAGACCTATACTGGGATGTGTATAGTCCTATATGGAGCTGTGTGTAGTCCTATATTGGGATGTGTGTAATCATTTACTGAGCCCGTGTGTAGTCCTATACTGGGATGTATGTAGGCCTGTAATGATGTATGTGGAGGCCTACATTAAGCCGGTAGAAGGCTGTATACACGACTACAATGAACTATGTGAAGCCATACACTGGGCAATACGTCTGCCTACAAAGCGGTATTATGTCTATGCGGAATTATATGTATGGTTTCACTATGTTGAGCACAGGTCGACACAAGCGTTATGCAAGCTTTCAATGAGAGGCTAACACTATTCTGTGTGTTGGCCCTCATCAAACAATTTCACTCTTTCTAAACGTGCTAAAACGAAATTTCATTGTTTGGGGGACGTTTTAAATTACGTTTAATATACGTATTTTGAGAATTTGTAAAGACAAGTATAAAACGTGAGGTCATAACGTTTTAATAGAACGTGTTTTAAATGTTATGACATAACATTTTGGAGCAAAAGTTTTTAAAATGTTAGTTCTAATTATTAATTATTGCAATTATTTTGGTATAAATATATTTATTGCATTTAGAAGAATAGGGAAAAAAGAAGAGAGAGAGAGAGAGAGAGAGAGAGAGAGAGAGAGAGAGAGAGAGAGAGAGAGAGAGAGAGAGAGAGAGAGAGAGAGAGAGAGAGAGAGAGAGAGAGAGAGAGAGAGAGAGAGAGAGAGAGAGAGAGAGAGAGAGAGAGAGAGAGAGAGAGAGAGAGAGAGAGAGAGAGAGAGAGAGAGAGAGAGAGAGAGAGAGAGAGAGAGAGAGAGAGAGAGAGAGAGAGAGAGAGAGAGAGAGAGAGAGAGAGAGAGAGAGAGAGAGAGAGAGAGAGAGAGAGAAAGAGACAGACAGACAGACAGAGAGAATGCGAAAGGAAGGAGAGAGAGAGAAAGGGAACAGAGGGACAGGGACAGAGGGAGACAGGGGGGTCAGAAGGGGACAGAAAGGGTCAAGGGGAAAGAGAGGGACAGGGGACAGAGAGAGAGACAGGGACAGAGAGGAAGACAGGGACAGAGAGGGAGACAGGGACAGAGAGGGAGACAGGGAAAGCGAGGGAGACAGGGTCAGAGGGGAAGACAGGGACAGAGAGAGGGACAGAGAGAGGGACAGGAGGACAGAGAAGGGGACAGGGGCACAGAGAGGGAGACGGGGGGACAAAGTGAGGGACAGAGAGTCAGAGAGAGACAGAGGGACAGAGAGAAAGACAAGAGGACAGAGAGACGGACAGGGGGACAGAGAGAGGGACGAATGAACACAGAGAGGGACGGGGGGACAGAGATGGGACAGGGAGACAAGGAGGGAGGAAAAGGGGACAGAAAGAGGGACGGGGGGGACAGAGGGCACAGAGAGAGTGACGGGGGGACGGAGGGAGAGACGGGGGTCAGAGAAAGAGACGGGGGGAAAGAGAGGGGGACGGGGGGACAGAGAGGGCGACGGAGGAAAAGAGAGCGGGACGGGGGACAGAGAGAGGGACGGGGGACAGAGAGAGGGACGGGGGACAGATAGAGGGACAGAGGAAAAGAGAGGGGACAGAGAGGAGATGGGGGGACAGAGGAAAAGAGAGGGGGCAGAGAGGAGACGGGGGAACAGAGAGAGGGACAGAGAAAGGGACAGAGGTGTTTAGTCTGGCTGGAAGGAGACGTCTTCCCGATTGCTGGCAGTTGATGGTAGTTGAAGATGATAGGTGTTGGTAGTGTTTCTTCATTCTTCATTGGTCTTCATTCTTCTGGCGCACTTCCCAGGAATGATGTCATTATCAGCAAGTTACTGGCGTGGTGTCACCCAGGTCGGCTTCTGTGATTGGATGGAGCTCACTTACGCTTTAGCTATCTTTGGGAGTGGCTCTGCTCTTTGATCGTTCTATCCATTACATGAATTTCATCTGCCGCAGTTGGTAAAGAGGCAAGCAACAGCCATTCGAGAAGGGACGAAGTATTTATAGTGTTAACAGTGATCAAGCTCTCACAACTTCACAGTTGCCATTACAAGCAAGCCTGCACGTTGTTTCGGCTGGTGTCATGACTGGAGTTTACGAAGACACAGAGGAAGACAGCCATGGATGTGTGTGTCCCTAGAAAAAGCCATGAACCAGAGAAACTGAATACATAGTCAAGGTGAGGCTGTTCTTGACAGCAAGTATTGTGTGCTCATTCTGCACTGGTGAGTTAGCCTTAGTGGAAGGAAGTACCCCTAAGTCTTTGGAGACTTAAGGCTTGTGGCACGTTTGGAGTTAGTGGAGAGTTGAATCGCTTAGTCAGTTTTAGCCGACCCCTACGACGCTTTCATAATTTTTTATGTATTGTGTATTAAAAATAAGTTTGTTGTGTTATATATTTGAATATTATTATAAAATATTTATTATTATAATAATCTTATATAGTATAGCTATATACTATGACTATGTATAGTTAGGCGAAGATTAGGTTAGGTGTTTAGGTTCTATTGGCGATTATTTGTATTAGAAGTACCTGGGTGCAACCCGTCCTTGACACAAGTCCATTACATCCAGTGGTCAACTCCACAGATGCATTCATAAATTTTAATTAAGATGCTGTTCATTCAAAACGGGAATTTTCTCAAATATAAATTAATATTATAATATATTAGCATACTGTGCATATATAGGTTAGATTAGGTTAGATATTTAGGTTCTGTTCGCGATTATTTGTATTTGTAATACGTGGGTGAAGCATTTGTAGCGTTGTGGTTCGAACAAAATTCGTCAGTGAAGCACTTGTTCCGGTAGTGTTCGAACGAAATCAGTCGAATCGTGTGTAAACCGTTTTTCATTCATAAACACAGCCCGTCCTCCAAACAAAGATCCAAAAGTGATTCCATGCACCCGCCAAACCCCCTGTTTATGAATGAAAAACGGTTTACACACGACTCACAACTGCTGACGTTCGAACATATCCGGAACAAGTGCTTCACTGACGAATTTTGTTCGAATCACAACGCTATAAAGGCTTCACCCACGTACTACAAATACAAATAATCGCCAACAGAACCTAAACACCTAACCTAACCTATCCTATGCCTATATATACACAATATGCCAATATATTGTAATATTAATTTATACTTGAGAAAATTCCCGTATTGAATGAACAGCATGGTAAAATTTTTGAATGAGTCTGTGGGGTCGACCGCTAAATGTAATGGACTTGAGTCGAGGACGGGTTGAAGGCGCGGAATATTGACTTTGAAACATTTGAATATGAGTGAAACATTTGAATTTGAGTGAAACATTTATGGAGTCTGTTGGCTATTTCAGTGCTTCGTACTTTCGCCTACTTTTTTGGATAGTTCAGCCCGTTTTCATAAACAAAGACCGAAAGTGATTCCAGGGACCCTAATTACAACCAAGAAAACAGAGTTGAATAGTGAATTATTTGGACACACTTTAACACGTGTAAATGATCCAATAGTCCGGATACACCCAACTTGTTGACGCAGGAAAGCACCTTAGGGCATTTTTTTTATTATAAAACAACAATAAATACAATTAAAAGCAAGGTACCGAAGCACCTTAACAGTCAAAACACTGCCGGATTTGACACCAACAACAAGCAGCATATTAAGTAAGAAACAAGACACCAAACAATACAATAAATTACAAAAACCAAAACAGAAATAGTCAAACACCAGTGTAATACATGTACACGCACCAGGATACAACACCATACACGCATAAAAGGAACAAAACAACAAGGACACGGTAAAACAAATACATAAGGACAGGAACATACATAAGTGACCCTACCACACAGAGGCCGTTACCGCCCACCAGAATGAAGAAAGCAATTACAAGAAGGCAATGAGAGGAAGTCTTCAGCCCAACAATCAAACATCCACAACCATACTGGACAAATATAAAGGGAAAAACAGACGGAATGCACACACAGGAACAATCATTACAAGCAAGGAGGTTATCTTGAGATGATTTCGGGGCTTAGTGTCCCCGCGGCCCGGTCCTCGACCTGGCCTCCACCCCCAGGAAGCAGTCCGTAGCAGCTGTCTAACTCCCATTTACCTATTTACTTCTAGGTAACAAGGGCATCAGGGTGAAAGAAACATTTTGCCCATTTGTCTCCGCCTCCACCAGGGATCGAACCCGGAACCTCAGGACTACGATTCTGAAGCGCTGTCCCTTGCCCTCAGGAGGGGAGACATTACAATCGTTACAAGCAAGGAAGGGAGATACCTCCGAACCTTGCTACAAGACACTCCACACAGTAAACCCCTATAAACACTAGGGGTCGACAAGCACATAGGCAACAAATTAAATTACAGAAAAACGCAAATTTACATACAATTATGAAACCCTAGGGAATTATATGTACTCCCAACTCACGGAAAACAAGTACACAAGCAAATATAAAACCACATGAACCCAAAGGAGACGCACCTCCTGCACACACCCAAGGAACTCGACCCGATTAGTACCAATCACCCACCAGTGAGTGTTCGCCTAGCTCTGGGCGGAGGTGGACGTGTCGCCTGTGGGCTCCTGGTTTGCTGGCCCGTGGTAGTTTGTGTGTGTGAGCGGACCCTTGGGGCCGTGGCGGCTGGAGGGATGGCGGCCCCCCTTCCCCCTGTGAAGCGGAGAGATACCATTGGCCTAGAATTTACTGACCCAGCGTCTTACCCGGCAGTTGAAGTGGTGATGATCGACATGTTGCTGGTGGATGTGGCGTCTGTGTGCGGCGTTCAACTTGTATCCGAGCATCGAGCTGTTGTGAAATTCTGCTCCACGGCTGTGTATCGTGACTTTGTGGACCGCTATGACGGGAGGACATTTACTCTGCCTGAGGGTGGTGGTTCGGTGTTAGTGTCAGACAGGTGCAATGAGACTACCTATGTGGCGGTTCATGGTGCTCCATTTGAGTTCCCTGACTCTCTTCTCCAGCGTCATTTTAACCGGTATGGGCGGGTCTTGAGTGTCCGAATGAATGCAGTCTCCTCCGGGCGGTGGAAGGGTATCCCGAATGGGACCCACACTGTGGCGCTGCGCTTGAAGGACTCCATCCCTTCGTCTCTCCAGCTTCTGGGCTTCATGGTACACGTGTTCTATGGGGGTCAGCCCCGGACGTGTTTCCAGTGCGGACTCTCGGGCCATCAAGCTGCAGGATGTGATGCGAGCCGGGTCGGGCCTGTGAACCTCTTCAGGGAGGCGGACTTTCCCCCGTTGGCGGTCCCGGACCTGTCGGAAGGTGCTGCTGTGGACAGTGTTACTACCCGGTCCTCTGTTGCCCAGTTGCCGGTCTCTGATGCCAGCCTCGATGTGGCTGTGGGTGTCGGAGTGGAAGGAAGTGCATCCCCGGCTCCCGCACCTCAGCCTCCCCTGCCTGCCTCGTCTCCAGTCGAGTCTCCAGTTGTGTCTCCTGTGGTGTGTGGTCTCGTGGCTCCGGACGTCGAGGCTGCGCCTCGGCCTGTACTGTCTCCGGCGGCTGTGTCTTCGACCCGTGTCGACGTGCACACTGTGATGTCTCCTGCGGTGTGTGGTCCTGTTCCCCGGGTTGTTGAGGCTGCAATGTCGAGTGATCGTGCGCTGCGGGGAGTTGCGCGGGCAACCAGTGGTTCTGCTACGGTGCTTCCTAGCGGAGGTGATAGTTCCGACGATCTGCGACCTGTGTCCAAGCGTTCGCGACGAGCTTTGAGTCTGTCTCCACCTCGTAATGCGGCCTGGGCCGACGTCGGGGAATTTGAGGACTCCGGGAGTTCGTCTTCTGGGGATGGTGATGTGTGCGACGCTGTTGGAGTGCCTGCGGCTCCTGTGGGCCGTGTTGCAGCAGTGATGGGTCCTGTGGTGGGATTGTCGCCTGGCCCTGGTCCGGTGTCTTCTCCGGCTGCCTCCGCGTCACCGGATGCTGGTTCCCCGGGTTGGGAGGTTGTGGCACCGGCCGAGATTGCGAGAGAGGGTAGGGGCTTGGTGCCGGTTCTTACAAATGCTTCTGTTCCGGCGGCCTCCGTGCCTCTGGCGTCCATGTCTGTGCCTTCCACGCCTTTGCCCTCTGCTCAGTCGTCCTTTGTTACTCCGTCCCCTGTGGTGTCGGCCCCTGCACCATCGCCCTCTGTGATTGCGTGCCCTGCGACTCCGCCCGCTCAGTTGCCGGCCTGTGTCCAGCCGACTCCTGTGCTTCAGTCCTGTGTGGTTCCACCGTCTGTATCAAAGCCCTCTGTGCGGCCTCTTCCCGTGCCTACCGCCCCCGTGGTGGAGGGCGCCGAGCTGGAGGTTCCCGACTTCATGCGTCGACCACGAGGGTCACGTAGTCACGTTAACGAGCCTATGGAAATGTGGGCACAGTGGGATGCCTATCGGAAGAAGTACCCGCGTCGTTACTATCCGGATAAATATGAAGATTGACTGTGTGTGTGGTTCTTGCTTTGTGTTGCTTCTTTCTTTCGTTGGTTTGTTGAGCTATGTGTTACGGGTTCCTTTTTTTCCCCTGTTTTCTTACCTAGTTCTTGCTGGGTTATAATGCTCTAGTGTTTTTTCTTTTTTTTTTTTTACTCTTTCATTGGTACCTATGTGTAAGATTCCATATTTGTTTATGCTTATTTACGATTTGTTCTCTTATCTGTGTCCTATTTACTGTGTTATATGTTCCGATGTTGGTTTGTGCTATACCGATTCTTTATTTTTTATTTGATAATTTACTATGTCATGCAAATATGTTCTGTTTCCTTTGTTCTATGTACTGTGCTGTGTATTGCTTTGTTGTATTCCCTTGTTAATTTCCTGCATTTTCTTTACTATGTTGGTAATACAATACTGTAAATATATGTTCTGTTATTGTGTTCTCGATTCTGTGGTGTGTTGTGTAATTTTGTATATGTATTCCTTGTTTATATTTTACCTCTGGTTTTATTGTGCTCCTTGTGTGCTATTGTAATTACTGACGCTTTTGGCACGCCCCGTCTGGGTAGTGCTGCTTTTGTTTTTGTGTGTATGTGTTCTTATGAGTTTTATGTTATTCTTTGTTTTCACTTTTGTGTTATGGTGATCTGTGTTCCTAGTTATCTGTGTTGTTGTTGTTCTGTGTTATTTGTTACTCCGCTTTCCTGTTTATATGGTTACTGTATGCTGTAATTGCTCTGTTTTAATAATAAAAAGAAAAAAAAAATCACCCACCAGCTGCAGGTCCGCAAAGGCTGGATCACCCGCTAAGGGTACCAGACTTTCCCAAAGGTGTTGTCCACCGACAGGGGAATCCCCCTTGAGGAGGGGCAATAGACCCCCCCTCCCCCCTTTTTAGCACCAAACGCAAATCCTGTCCTGTACTACCACGGTAAACAGGGTCAACAACCCCCCTCCTGTGTCAACTGGCACTTTAGGGCGGGGGGGGGGGGGGGGGGGAGCGCTCACAGGCTGGAACCAGCAAAGGACCCCACCTTGCCCCTCCCCTCCACAAACGCCGCCTCATCCACCCCAACCTCGTCCTCCATAGGCTCTGAAGTGTCCGTACCACCTATGGACCACCAATGGACTGCGACCTGATAGTGCCCTTCCAGTGTTCCGACCAAGGGACCAGCTCAACTGGACACGATGTGTCCTGTAAGCATCGAAAGGGGGGCACACACCCTCCATCAGAGAGGCCGTTGGAATCGCCTCCTGCGACGAGTGGGGAAACCCCACGTCCAGAGACCCCCCAACAGGCAGAGCAAGTGCACCAGAACTGCTCTCCAAAGCAGATGGGGACATCTCCTGGGAAGCCGGTATCATCACAACAACAGGCAGTAGTACACCGTAAATCTCCACACACACCACACAAAGCCCTGTAGTCGGAGTCGCATCCACATACACCACCCGGTCGGTAGCCCCTGGTTGCACAGGGCGCTCCAACAGCTTCGCACGAACCTTTGGGACACTCACACAGACAGGCATAATGCCTTGCAGGCTGGAAGGTGGAACATCACCTGCCAACACCTTCGCAGAATCCTCCTGGATTCGGAGGGAGGAAAAATCACCCTCCCGAAAAATATTGACGCGAGCAATTGCCTTCATGGGGCAAGCCGCAGCCAGAAAACCCTGTAGACCACACCAATAACAGGTACAGGGTTGACCGGAATGCATACATTAGAGCGTAAATCCCACCAGGGAACACGAAGACGGTATATCCCGCGTCAAGGACATCGTTAGTGTCCTGGTGCAAGCAAGCATCGCCTTACAATAACCAGCAGAAACTTTATTCCACCTCACACTTGACACCTTCCCAAACTGCTTAAATAGCCTGGTTATTAGCCCGTCCGTCAATTCAAACGGAGGTATGTCAAGGTCACGTTCAAATTTACCACACGTTCCGTACCAGCACCATCCGGCAAATGGTACGAGTAATCCTCACACTGGCTAAGGAACTGCTAGAATACTTCCGGTCGAACAAATTTCACCACCACATGGCGATCTTGAACGATCTGCACTCCCACCAGGTCTGTCAACGTCACACGGAACCAGCGCACTACCAACCACTGTATGGTGAACCGGCGTGGAAAACTCAAGTCCAACCGAAGAAGTCCGCTGAATAGGAGGCACGGAAGACCCTATCGTAAAGCAAAAACTTACCCTGCACAAGCAGGATACCATACAGGTCAAGGGACTGACACCCAATCACCAACTCCAAGCTTGGGTTGTCAAATGGGGAGCAACACTTGACCACGTCCACCCACAGTGGCGACCAGCGAGTGAATCTTCTTAGTGTACTGGTCGTGGACATAGGAAAATCTATCTCCTCTTCTTACGAACCCGACTCCATCGTCGGAGCATGGAGCAGCGACGTCAACGACATCTGTGAGTCCACTCCCAAAACCCCCACAAAATGGACGACGCCATCTGGTGGTGGCGGTATGATACCTGTAAGAGACTAGATTCCTGCCTTGGCCAGCCCGAAGAGTCGCTGTAGCTGACCTCTGGTGAGGTGGCGCCTAGAAATTAGCGCCATCTATCGTAATATGAGTTGTATGTTAATGTCAGAGTCCGTAAGTGGCATGTCCTAGTTTCACAAGTACCAGCCAGTTTACTGATGACGTGTCTGTATCCACAGAGGCGACGTAGGGCTGCAGTAGTATGAAGACAGGCAGTCTACCCAAGGCAGCCTATTATCTCTCTACTTCATTCTGCATTACGTGAGCAGTGAGCCGCTGCCGAAGAGGAACTGTGTAGTATCTGCTGTCTGTCTGTGAAGTGGCAGTGACAGAATTCGGTGTATCCCGGGACTGGCTAGAGGAAGAGACGACCGACAGTGAGGTGCTACGGAGAAGTGTAACTAACTAGTTGCAAGAAGCTCCTGCCAGGGGTTCGCTACCCTTGTATTTGTTCGTGTAGAGGCCCAGCAGCGCGAGGCTGATGTTCTCTGCCAGCACCAGGCTGGAGAGTGATGGTGGGCGTTCACAAGGAGCACCTAGTGAGACTGTAGATAGGCTGGCCCCATGGCTAGGGTAGACTCGTTGGTGTTTCACAGTACTGGTTGAGGACGGTACTGTGTGTTGAGGAAACACGGAAGTTGACAAGGCTGCATTGCATGAGCATCGAGGAGCGCTTAGTGTCCTATGAGAGCGACACATGTGTATATATATATCAGTATAGTAATACTTCGTTTATGATTCTATTTATGGTGATGGGAAAGTGATAATATGTGAATATATTGACAATTGATGAAGTGTCATATTCCTTTCAACTCCCCCCTTGTGTTTTACTTGCATTACCATGTCTACTCCTTGAAAGCCACTACTGACTTGGGGTCGGATACTTGTACTTTAGTTCCTCTAGCAAAGAACCCGGTTGCGACCCATAGTGGCCCTAACACGTCTCCAGAAGGGTTTGTCATGAATGTCGCATCCTGATAATACAACTTACCTTGTGACAATAGCTGAACCTCTCAAGAATATTACTCACCTTTTCTTCAAGTCGGTACTGGAGGGTGGGGCTTCTGAAGCGAGTGAGGAAAGAGGCCAGAAGGAAACGCATGTGAGAGTCGCCAAACACAACCCAGCACTCGCTCCTGGCAGGCCATCTGCCACCACTTTCAGTAGCATTACCACCACCTCCAGTAGTGTTACCACCACCTTCAGTAGCGTTACCACCACCTACGGTAGTATTAACACCACCTTCAGTAGCATAATAACGAACAACTTCAACACCTCCAGTTCTAGTGGTATTTCCTCTGGAAACAATGTTAGAAATTTCTTTGATAGACAGGAGCTCGTTTAAGTACTTTGGAATTTTAAGACATAGTAAGAGGATAATTTTAAATGTTATAATAAATGTTTCAAATGGTGTCAGACAGTATCTGGTGATTTATGTACATACACCTCGATTAACCCTTAAACTGCTAGGCCCATAATATTGCAGTCGAAAGTATGCATCGACTAACAGACAACAGCTCATATAATATGACAATGTTTGAAGATGTACTAAGGTGTAGTTATATGCTAAGGCAGTGGTGTTCTGAGTTTTATGGATGCATGTTGATGTGTATGATGTTACGCGTCATCCACAAAGTCGATGAAGATGTGCTGATATGTATAGTGAAGGGGCCATCTGGGTAGTCTTGGAAAAGTTGTTCAATGTCAACCAATATTATTTGACTAGTTGTATATGAAAAGTGCTGAAATTGTCCCAAGTTTCAGTACTGCAGCTAAATAGAAAGGGGGATTTTTTTTTTTCATCGTTTTTTACACATTTTCAAGTCCACACTTCAGAACACACGTTTCAGATATAATTATTCTGTGACACTTTTCTGACACATTAGCATATAATAAAGGATTGCGAGTGTTAGAATTTCCAAAACATCTTTAGTTTTCCTAATACAAATGTTCAAAGTTCCCCCCAAAATTTTGCAAATATGGCATGTTATTGCTATTATAAAATCAATAAATGAACATAGAAAAATAAACTCTCAAATGTAGAGACATGCCCTCCACATATACTGTGTAAGTTTCATGTAAATTGAATAAAAAATTAATCGGTTTTGTAAATGTTTGTGTCAATTGAAAAAAAAAACAGAAATGAATAAAGTCTAAGGTTCTAAAATTTGTGGCCGAGGTTGACATCAACCAATTTTCTCCAAAATTGGCATCCTTACAGATAGGCTTACGTACAGTCAGGTGTGTAAGTTTGATGCAAATCGCCCGAAAAAATGAAAAAAAAAATTGAAAAAAAAAATACATTTTTTTTTCTTAAATTTGTTTTCCAATTAAACTAATTATAATATTTGTTTAATATATGCTATAGTGATAGCAAAGAGTCATAGCTATGATTTCAGTTGACACTTTTGATTGATAATCGATTTTGACCATTTTGGCATAATTTTCACAACTACAATATTTTTTTTTTCTCTCTTCCTATTTATGCTACGATGCTGAAACTTGGACCAGATGAAACCCTTTTCATATAAAACTTGTCAAAAAAGTTTGATTGAAATCAAACGAGTTTTCATTTATGCATTTTTGGACCCAGATGCCCCCTGAACTGCGTATATGAATGGAAATATGTGGAGGATACATTGAATACTTAGTTGTATAATGTGCTTAGTTATATGATGTATTTAGTTGATTAGTGAGGATTGAGATATGTGAATAAATTCTAAAGAGAATTATGTGCTGAGCGGTAAAGAAACTTGATAATGTGTGATGTGCTGAGGTGAATGGAGATGTGCTGAGGTGTTAGCCAAGGTTAACCTTCAGCAGGTGGGCGCTGGCCTCTGTAATACACTAGTGTACTCACCTAGTTGTGCTTGCAGGGGTTGAGCTATGGCTCTTTGGTCCCGCCTCTCAACTGTCGATCAACTGGTGTACAGATTACTAAGCCTACTGGGCTCTATCATATCTACACTTGAAACTGTGTATGGAGTCTGCCAGCACCACATCACTGCCTAATGCATTCCGTCTGTTAACTACTGACACTGAAAAAGTTCTTTCTAACTTCCTTATGGCTCATTTGTGTACTGAGTTTCTACCTGTGTCCCCCTGTATCATGCTAATAGAACCACTGATATTGACACCAACCTGTGGACCCTCAGCAGGTGGGCGTTGGCCTTTGTAATACACTGGTGGATCATGCTGACAGAACCACTGAAGTTGAATGTTCTACAGCATATGTTCTCAGCATGAAGGTCTGTGTGGTACTTGTAGCAGCGTCTGTCATAGGTTGGATGGTGTCTCATTGTTTTGTGCGGTGACGGTGGTGATACTTGTGATGATGAGTTTGATGACATTTGTGGTGAAAGTGATGATGATGATGATGGTAATGTTAGTGATGTTTGTCGTGGTGATGAGGTTATTAATGATGATGCAAAATGTTGCGACAAAGGTGGTTGTTTGAAAGAAAATCGAGGCAGCAGGTAAGAGGTGAGGAGCAAGGCGAGAATCAACGTCCCCACCACCAGCGGCGTCACCCGCCTCATCAACAGCAGCGCCACCCACCACGCCTCCAGCCTCGCCAGCGGCACCACCAGCCACGCCTCCAGCCTCGTTGCCACCATCCTGGCTCTCCGTTACCTGGTGAAAAGCAGCAATAATGTATTTAACTATGACATGTTTAAAAGGTTACAAAACTATGTCCTGAATGCTTAAAAAACCCGCAAAGGGAACGAAGAACATAAACGAAGACAATTAAAGTTTGCGTGCTAGTGGCTTTACAAAAATGTAAGAACACTTATAAGAAAAATGCATAACCTTCCAAGAAACACGTAGAAAGGAAGCTGGTTGATGGGAGAAAGAGACAGTGTACTGTATTTAAAAGTCGAATAGTGAGAAAGATAAGTTATATTAAGCTACGGGTCAGAGCTAGAAAGTGAAGTTCAGAATGCTTGAACTTTAATTGAATATCAAACCCAAGAGAATTGTACCACAAGTAGAGTACGGTTTCTATGCACATCTTATTTTGACTTTTCATTCATAATTAATCTGATAAAGAAGGTCGTACTCATCGATTGGCTAGTAGGGAGTTTGACTTGCCAAGTGGAATGCTTTCCAAGCTGGAGGATACCTTCATACCTCGATTCAAGAATTATTGGATATTGTGGACTGAGATGTAAGTTCATAGGTGAACTCCTTAAGAATTTATGGTGTGCAATGGTCTCGAAAACAGCTGACAACAGCTAAGCTTAGGTGTGGGAGGTATTAGTCATTATTAGGCGTGCTATAAAGATTATTGGGAAGCATTGTATGCATAAGTAACAATGAGGAATTCTCCGTTGCGATAACAGACTCCAGTTCACTCTAGACCTCCAGAGAGTTTCTGACGTAGTACGATACACCTTGATGCAAAATCTAAAGTAGCAGGCTCGAGAGAATAGCAGAAAAATACCTAGGAGACAGAAAATTAATTCACAATAAGTGGGAGTTTAAAATAACGGGATGTAGGATGGGTTTTGAAACTTATAAAAGAAAATACTTAACTTAAAAGTTGTCAATAACCAAGATGTTTTTACAACGATTGTCCATTCTCTTAGTTCATCTACCTTAGTATATATATATATATATATATATATATATATATGTCGTACCTAGTAGCCAGAACTCACTTCTCAGCCTACTATTCAAGGCCCGATTTGCCTAATAAGCCAAGTTTTCCTGAATTAATATATTTACTATAATTTTTTTCTTATGAAATGATAAAGCAACCCTTTTCTCTATGTATGAGGTCAATTTTTTTTTATTGGAGTTAAAATTAAC